CCAGTTGCCCGTCGGCCTCCCGCTCTCTGAGCCTGTCTCGTCCTGGATGCTTTGGCGTGGAGAATTGCATTTAAGGGCTTTTGGGGTGAAAAGGGGTCTAGGGGTTTAGGGAATTTAGGGTGTAGGGGTTTGGGGCTTTAGGCTTTAAGGTTTTGGGTTTAAGGGTTTTGGGTTCGTGGGATGGACCACGGGTTGCGGCTAGGGATTGGTGACGAGCTTTTGCCATGCTGCTAATTATGGCCATCGAAGACAGGCTCTTCGTCACTTCGTTTCCGAAAAGATACACCCGGCCTGTGTATTCTTACATGGCCACAACATCTCGTGCTCTCGGGAAAGAAATCTATTTGTAACTCGTTGAACCAGGCAGCCATTACACTTCGAAGTCAGCTCTGTCTCACCGTGTCGAGATCCATCACCCGTGCAGTCCTAAACAGAAGACTTCTCAGTCAAAGCTGTTTCATTTCCGCCATCAACCGTGAGGTTTAAGACAACAACCGCAGACACAACGACTATGCAATTCATCATGTAAATTTGCAAAGATCCTAAATCCACCTAGATCTTCGAGACCAAGGATAGATTTACAGAAAGTCGGGCTTTGGGATTTGGGGTGTTGTTTCTTCCCACGTTGAAACTGCCTGGAGGGACGGCTGTTGGGCACTGGTTGTTAAAAACAAAGGTTGTCACTCTTGGGGACGGCGCAGTGTGCAGCCGAGCCCGGCGCGACTGCGGCGGCGGCCCTCGTGACCCCGGCGGCGACCCCAATTCACAATCTCGCCCATCAGCGCGCCCTCCTGTTGACAAAGGATCCTAGCTTCAGCCCGAAGCCCCCTGTACCCCTAAACCTCTAGACTCTCAACATTAAGTTCGAAGATGCGGAGCTGATGCGGAGCCATCAGAGCCACTATTACACACTTGCGAGTGCTGTATACTTCCTGCGGTCAAGATAAGAACTCGATTGGCGATGTCGTGCGAAGTGAATGCTGCAGCCTGCCTGGACATCGGCCGTCCCAGGAGTCAGATTCTCAGGGTTCACGTCCTTGCCCCGAGAAAACTAAGCCCACAAGGCATAGAAGTCAGCTGAATAGCGTCAAGGCATAGAAATCAGCTGAATAGCGGCAACTGAGGGGCCTGTATGCGACACATTACAAGTGATGCAGTCTTTTGGCTGATCAATGTTACCAGTTGGCAGTCGATACCAGATTTCGTGGCAGGTTGCGTGGGACTAACTTTAACAACAGGT